ATAAATCTTTTTTATTTTCTGAATAAAATCTGCTACCCATGTTAAACGCTGGTAGATTAGTGTATTTGTGAATGTACTTCTAATCAACTCAATGGCTGATTTCCCCCCCCCTACCTGAAACCCCCCCCCCTTTGAAACAGCCTGCCCTCAGACTAGAATTGGCCCTTTTCTCTTTTCAAAAAGCAATCAAGGCTGCTTTTCCAGCACCATTAGGACACAGAGTTCAGCTTAACTGGAAGGAGGTGACCTAGAGAGAAAGTATTCAATTTAGAATCCATTTTACTATTTTTAATGTTTTATTGCTGTATATAGTTTTCGTTTATAGGGAGCTATCTAAAATCTTGGGAAATAGTAATATATAAATCAATTAAGAAATGCAAATAATTAAAGCAAAGGTTTTCCAAACATAATTCTACCAGTATACAAAAAGCTATGTTATGAAATGGAAACTGATAAGACGGAGTGAGATATATAATAATGTCTGATGTGTTATTGGCCATTACGCATTTACAATCAAGGAAAAGGTCAAAGAAATCTGAATGGGATGGAAGCCAACATGATGAATGATATCTTATGCCAATGAGAGAGACAGGCTTAGGTGCTATTTCCTCTACAATCCTGAACTTCTGATAATATTTAGGAGAATTAACTACAGCATTTGTGTATTTTTATAGTTTTATTATATAGTATAAATAGGTAATATAAACAAATAGCACATCGAGATCACAAACAATATTAAAAATAACTTATGCCATATTCCTAATAAAGAACATCATGTATACCTATAAAGTGGGCCTGAAACACACATTAAAAAAAAAATCGCCAAGATTTTTTTCTGTCTCTTTTACCTTACCTTTTTGATTGAAGAAATACAATTTTTATGACTTTTCTGATTCAATATGAAAAGTGTACTTTCAGTACTGCTAATGTAGGAATCTTGGATTTCTCTGCAGAACTATATGCATGTAAATTGGCTACTGAATACTCGATTAACACAGAGCGTGAGTAGAATGCATATTGGCAGGCTACAAAATATAGCAGCATGACCTCCCTTTATTTATGTACATTTGTATGTTTAATCCAAGAGTGACTTAAACCACAAACCAGGAATCTCCTTGTATCCGAAAGTTTCCCCTTTATTAGATTTACTATGTATGGGAAAGGAATACAAATGAGTACAAGATTATGAAAACTGAGTAAACTAGAATCTAAAGTAATACCTCCCAGGTTCCCAAGGGGCCAAAAGGTAATTGCAAGGAATTTGAAATGGACAACAACCGTGGAAAACCAAATAAAAAACACTGACACAGACTCTGATTAAAATATGATATATGCCTGAGGTAAAAATCACAGGAAGAGAAATGTCAGCCTAGGAGGAATACTGGAAGGAACAGCATTAATTTGGGCTGGTTTCTCCTTTCCTCCTTGACCAGCACTAGTATTTTTGTGCCCCACACCATACAGAATTTGTTTCACTGCTTACATCCTTTGCACTCTTACATCCTTTGTACAAATGCAGATTCCTTATGAGCCCAATTTTTAAGAAGGCAATGCTACAAAGACTACATTATTTTTTGTTTTGCTTTGACTTTCCTTTAACATGGTTTGTGGTTCCTTGGAAGAGGTAGTTTACTTGATGAAAAAGCTGAAACAAGACCTAAAAACACTGAAAAAAATAATGGCTACTCATCTGTTTTCTTTTAAATATTGCAACTAAAATTATGCATTGTAGATACTATACTAAGATTTCCAAACATAAAGTCAATATTCCTTCTGGCATCATTATATTTAGATATATGGAATTACTTAGGTATATTTATGACTGAATAAAATCACCTGATAAAAATTGACATAGCAGAGTCCATCTATTATGCAAGACTGTTTCTTTTTTAATGCAATTTGTATTTATCAGTTAATAAGGGCTCTACAATATGCCCCTGCGCCTTCCAAGCTCTTTCACCTGACTTTTTTTAATTACAAAAAAAAATTAAAAAAGAGAAAAGACAACTAAAAAATAAAGTGACAGCTTACAGCATATTTATTTTTAAAAAGGCTTCTGGGCTAAATAGGCCGGTAGGCTTGCTCAGAAAACAAACAAACAAAAAAGATGGAAGGTGCTTTGTCTGGAAGTGTGTTCATTTGTCCAAGAACACAAAAGGTAAATAAGGCTACTATGGAGTAACCTGTACTGAGGTATTGAGAAGGTGGAAATATGTTATGTGTAGCCAAGCCCCTAGTAAGATAATATTAAGAAATTGAGGTCTCTACATCCTTTCAGCATTTCTAAAGTAACAATATAACATTTTGCATCCTAGTTTTATGCCTATTCTGGTATAGTTACTAATTTAATATCAACAATCACCTATTTTGGCAAAGGACTTAAATCTCAATTGGCTTGTGCACCTAACTTTGTTGTTTTTTAATATGATATGTAAATCTAGAGATTATTTAGGGCAGAAAGGTAGTTAAGAAATATATTTAAGATTAAGCTACTTTATTTTGTTTGATTGATATCGGTAGCTATTCAAATTTACAGCTCATTACTGGGATTGTTGCCTAGCAACACACATTAGACATTCTGAAGGGCAATGGACAAAGGTCTTTGTTTTAGGTACAATTGGATTTGCTGTTTTGAGTACTAAATAAAATTACATTTTTTTGCTGTACACAAAAATTGTTTTATAAAATTTCTATTTAATCAATAGGCAAGCAAGTTTGCATATATTCAAAACTGAGAAATAAAAAAAGAATGCTAATGTAAGGTTGTACAAATTATTTCCAATGGGAATCCCCCGATGCCCGAAATAGTCTGGATTCAGTGAAGGTAAGTTTTTTTGTTTCTGCTTTTTGAAAAAACAAATTCCATTGCACTGAGATGAATACAAGGAAATTAATACAATTCATTTAATATGCTACAACAGCTTGGGATCAGCAAACCCAAAGTCTCGACTGACACATTTATTCCTTTTCCAATAAAAAGTAAATATTGCATATGAAGTCAGTTTTCCTTTGAGACTGCACTTTCTCTCCATCTATGGGGAAGAAAATCTATTTAGAGAGACTACCAGACTGTAGCCTGCATTATGATTGTGTTCAAACAATATACTGAATTTAATTCTCATTCAATAGAGAATTCTCACTAGAACCCCTAAAAGGTGATGGCGAACCTTTTAGAGACCGAGTGCCCCAAAACTGGCCCCGCCCCTGCTCCACCCCCTGCCCGTTCCCGCTCTGCCCCCCCATCCACCGGCCCGCCTGCCCACAGGACCATTCACCGCCTCCAGGGCCCACTGCAGATTGCCCAGCAGCGCTATGGCGGCCACACCCTCTGCCCGCGCCCTGCAGCATCAACTGCATGATGGGGTGTGAGGGCAGAGTCTTGTCTACGCTGCCTGGCTGCCATGTCCTTGGCTGCGCTGCTCTGTGTGGGCCACGCTTGAGGGCGAGTCTCCTTCAGGGGGGCTGCTCGAGAGGAGGGGGTCACGGGGGGAGGCAAGGCTGGGGCAATAGCATGTGGGCCCACAAAGAGGGCTCTGAGTGCCGCCTCTGGCACTCGTGCCATAGATTCGCTACCACTGCCCTAGCACAATAATGAGTATACTATGGAGTTTTCTTAGTAGTATGGAAATGGCTTGCCCCTATGTTCTTCAGGAAGATGCTTTTGACTTCCTAATTCAACCCACAGCCCTACTATTATTTAGTCTCTCATACAAATACTAACCAGTCCCAAACCTGCTCAGTTTCTGAGTCTTGAGAAAATTAGCCTCTTGCTGCCATTCTAATCAAGTATTCAGTGTGAAGCCAGTCCATATGGTTAGTTTATGGTTCACAGTTGAATGACCTCAGAACAGTTTGTTAAATAAACCATGGATAGGTTTACCATAAATGTCTTAGGTGAACAAAGCCCATGTACTTTCAAGGTTCTATCCACTTTCATAGTATAACCACTCAAAACTGTACCTCTTCTCCTCATTCTGCATATACCTGATTAACATTTTTGAACAATACCTTACAAAAACATTGGCAGTTCCTAAACTTAAAAAATAGCCAGTCTCTTCAGCTTGTATGTATTACTGGAAGATACCAAATACAAAATTAGGATATTGTTTTCATAAGCAAAAAAATAAATTAATCCAAACTGGAGAAATGTAATATTGTTCTGTACAATGCGTCGATCATAGAATAACATTCCTTTTCTTAAACAAAGGCAGAATATGCGTATGTATATGTGTACATTAAGTGAAAAAAGAGTAAAAGAAAAAAAATAGGAGATATAATTTATGGTGAATATTTTTTTTACCTTAGTAATAGACCAGTTTTATTATGCAATCACTAAGAAAGTATTATACAGCAAAATGTTTCATGTATCAGTGAAACAGATATTCGATTTCTAAATTCAGATAATGACTGCAGTTCGATGGTTGTGTTGCCCAGGGGCAACAAGGTGACAAACTCATGACACTTGACCCTTTCTAAATCATCAGGGCACTTGGCTACCGTCTTACGGTAACACCATAATGTAGCTGAATTGGAAAAACCATTTATGCAGGCACGCGTCGCTTTGTTGTAGAAGGTATTCATCGCGCGCACCCTCCCATTAAAAAGCCGATCGCCCGCTGATTTGTCACCCTGATTGGCAGGTTTCAGACAACCAACCACCAGATCAGCGCACGCTCCAACCACTGTCCCGCCACCTGGCTAGCATCCCCGGTCTAAGTCTCGCGCCACCGCAGAACAGCTGTCAGCGCCGAGCTCCGCAGCTGGGGAAAAAAAGCGGTCGGCACGTTCCTCTTCCGCAGCGCGCGGCTAAAGCCCCGCCCTTCCTGCCACTCCCACCCTTTAGCAGGCTGCGCTCCATTCATCTTTCTCTTCCCCCGCAGGAACAGTTAAGGAGGGGGTGGAGGAGAAAGAGAAGCGCGCGCAGGAAACGTATCTCCCAGCTTCTGCTCATCACACAGTTCCCCTCTAACGCCCTTTTCCAAGGCGCCCAAGGAACTCACCTTCCCTTTGAGCTAAAGGGCTCGACTTCTGAAATGGCGGCTAAATATGATCCCTTAAGTTACCAGTCCAGTCCCTGACCGCGACTGCGCTCTCCGTATAACTTTTCCCAGCCCTTGGAGTTCCAAAGCCGAACTATCGATAGCACGATTCTCTAAGCCAAACGTGCGCGCGAGTTATTAAATTCGCTTTGGAGCCGAAGCTGCTACGCGAAGAAGAGAATCCAACCTTTCTCGCTCACCAACTGTCACCCTTCCCCCCTCCTCTGCTTTAACCCTCCAAGGTGGCTGGCTCGTGACGTCATTATCATGGCAACAACAACTGCAGCCGAGAAGCTCCTGTTCTGGCGCTGTTCCACGCCACGGACAAAGTGGGAGTTGCTCACGAGCCGCGCGCGGTCCGCCTCGTTCTAAAGAGCCTCGTCCCGGTTGGTGCTCGAATCCTGGAGGCAGGACGGAGGGGGGGGGGGCGAGGAGAAGAAAAAAAAAGTGGAAACCTGCGAGCGCGTGCGCGTCTCGCTCCCCGGCCGGTCCAGGACCGCCCGGCCGTTCATTCGCCCAAGCGCGGGAGCGCGCGCGCGCCGGGCGTGTGAGGAAAGAAGGCGGGGGCTGCGCTCGCGCTGCGGACGGGTGCGCCGAGCCCCAGCCTCGGGCTGCGCCCAGTGGTCGCCCTCAGCGGCGCCTCTCTTCGTGGCGGCGAACATGTTCTCAGTGAGGGTCGTGACTGCCGATTACTATATGAGCAGCCCGCTGCCCGGCCTGGACCCCTGCCAGTCCTCCTTTAGGGAGGCCCCCGTTAAGAAGGTGCCCGTGGTGAGAGTCTTCGGAGCCACTCCATCGGGTAAGGACGGGCGCCCGCTCGCTCCGGGCACGGCCAGGGCGAAGGAGGCTTTGTTGGCCCTGGGACTGGGGTTCCCCTCCCTCCCTCCCTCCCTCCCTCTCTCTCTCTCTCTCTCTCTTCGCCTTCCGCCTCGCGACATTGGCGCGCTGCAGCAGGAGCCTCCCCTACCTGCTCCCGCCGCCGCCGCCGCCGCTGCGGTTGAACAAACTCGGCGGTTCCCGGGGCCCCGCCTGGGAATCGCGGGGAAAGGAATGGCAGCCCCCATGCACGTCTGAGCATTGTGCCGGAGGCGACTTGCGAGCCGCGCAGGGCGCGTTTCCCTCGTTAGGGATTGCGCCGCGTGACCCTCAGTTGTGCAGCCGGGAGGTGTGGGTGGAAGATCACGGCGTGTTTCTGTGTAAAGAGCACAATCCGTCTGTATGCGTTGTTGGAAGCGAGTGCTCACTCTCTACTCCCGCCTTCCTGTATTATGACCATAATGAAATCCAGCTGTATAAATACTGCTTTTGTCTGATGGCAGTATAAGCTATAACTCACCTTGACTGTTCCCCCCCCCCTTTTTTCAAACATAATATTCGGAGGTACAGTATTGAGTTTCTGTTTCTGGTAAAGCGTATAAGTGTGAATGGGCTTGAAAATGCGTTATTAATCCTAGATAAACGGAAGGAGATTTAAATTGCTATATTAAAAAGATCATAAATTTATCAGGAATAGATATTTCTGCTCTAAGAGGATGATTCTACATCTAATCACACAGAATTTTAAAACAATATTTTGCTCTTTAATAAAACCCATGTAAGACCAATATTATTTTGGTTAATATTCTCTTCTGCTTTTAGCAAACTAGGTTTAGCAAGAGTCATATAAACCCCCAGACTGTGTGTGTGTGTGTGTGTCTGTGTGTCTGTGTGAGCGAGCCAGCGTGCCTACTCAAGTAAATACTGCTGGGCCAAATAACTTGGCATTAGGATATTTCTGACATAATTAATGAAACTGCACAAAAAAGACATGCAGGAACTCAATCTAAATTACAAAAAAACTAATACTGATAATAGTGACAGTTTTTAATAGCATGTTTGCTATATTTGGTTATTTATTAAATTTATTTGCTGCCTACTTCACTAGCAGCTTGAATAATTCCTATTTTGCAGTTTAATCCCTCAGTTCTTGTAAATGGAGAATGTTTGAATATAGCTCTCAGCATATTTTTTTTCATAATTTCTAATTTTACAAAATGATAATTTTATAAAAGCAGGCTGGTTCTTTTGTGTATAATTGAAGTTTCTTATAAAGCATTTTTTTCAAGAGTCCTACAGTTGATTCTAATATTTCCCTTTGGGTAATTGTTTTTGTCAAAATCTGCTTAACAATAGCAGCAAGTGTTGATTCCACAGGTGGGGATTGCTTATGTTTTATTCACTAGGGCACAGAAGGGGGGGGTGTAACAGGAGGACCAGAAGATATTCTGCAAAATAACAACAACCATCAAAGGTAGAGATAACATTGTCTCATAGAGCCCATGGGTTGCTTTGGGAATAAAGATATTTTTCCCCTTTCTCTTACTATTTTTTTTAAATCAAGGGAAAGTACCTTAATGCCTTCCAGGAAAAAAAATACAAAAGGAAAATACCTACCTCTGCATTAGGTATAGATCAGTATGGAACGGAATGACCAGTAGTATGATTTTTGACAAGTAAGTCAAGATAAAATGATCCTTATCCATATGCAGTTTGTTGTTAAGTTTCCGGGTTGGTAGTGTTGCAATAAATTGTAGTCTGAAAAACATGGAATGTGAAACAAAATCTAAATATAGTATCAAAATATTTAGATAAAACCTACACAAAAGGTATTGTGGAATAAAAAGTTTTAATATCTTTCATTGTAATCTTATTTATGCTTACTTGGAAGAATATTTAACTCTATTCGACCAGATGTACTCCTAGGAATTTTTTTTTAAGTTTATATAAACCCAGAGGGTTTATTCTGACAAGAATTTGGTATGTATTTCATTCATTTATACTGATTTTATTTTATTTGGGCAAAAGAGAAAATTATCAGTAATGTTAACAGAAAATGATAAATGAAAACTATATATGCTGTTATCAATTATTCAGAATGATATTTAATCAATAAAAACACCAAATCATTTTTTTAAAGTTTACCCAATTATTTTTAGAGACAGTCTATAAATGTCTATTGAAATAACATTGCCTGAATGAGATTTAGCACTGATTTTTATATTTAAATAAAGGTCCAGAAATAAACTGGAATGAACCATATGTGAAAATTTAAAATTAGTTCATTAAAGTTATAGTGTGTGAAACTAGAATTGAATTTGACTAGAATTAACCCTAACAAATAGAGTTAGAACTTGAATTTCTATAAAAGTGTTTATTGAACTTTAGAAGATATAATCACCTGAATTTCTGGGGCCTTATCCTCACTATATTTGAAATATTTATACATCAAAAAGGCTCAATCAAAGATGAAATAATAAATACTTGTCATAGAGTTTAAAAATCAGATCAATCAATCATTTGATCAAAAAATCAAAACCTATCATTATACCTTTTCCAACAAACTTTTGTTGTCCTATCTTTTGTTAGGAAACATTTATCTTGGCCAAATATAACATACCATCATCTGTGCTTCTAGAAGACTGATTTAATTATACTTCCATAGTAATGCCTCTGTCTTGCCTGCTTAAAGAAATAGAATTGAGTCCGTATATTACACTTTTTACTTGCAGAACATCAGTCTTACCTCCCATCTTGTCAGTTTGTCATAAAAACATAGGAAACATATACTCACTCTCAGTCAGTCCAAGAATAATCTTGATTAATTTTAAGAGTATCCTCACATTGTACCATTACAGATAATCCTTGGATTATTGGGACTAGAATTTCTATCACTAAGCAAAGCAGTTGTTAAGCAAACTATCACATGATTACACAGCAGTTCCAGCATTCCCAGTTGTGGTCATTAGACGAGGGCCTCACGTGATCCCAATGGCTTGTAACTTCCTGCCAGCTTCCCCATTGATTTTGCTTGTCAGAAGCTGTATAGGAAGATTGCAAATGGCAATTAAATTAGCTTCCCAGTTCTTCCAAAGCAGGTGATGGTTTGAGGGGATCAGTGATACAGAAGAAACCAATTCATTTTTCCTGCCCTGCATGAAGTACCTCTGCTTCAACGGCCTCATTTTGCCTAGATCCCCTTCCATTTGTGCTCTTTTGGCCACCTTGCATAGTATAGCTAAGATGAAGATGATACTATATTCCATCACTGCCTCATGCCCAGTGGACCTTCCTCCCTGTCATACTCAGTGGTGTCCTTGTTTTCCTCCTCCTTGATGGTCGCCTTGCATCTCCTGTGGATGGGCCTCAAGCCACACAGTACAGGTGCTCTGTCAACATTGGGTCAGTGAGAGGAAAGGCCAACTCCGGTGTGTGCAAAGTGTCTCCTCTTCAACTCTGCCACCCACCTATCTGGCTGAAATGAAGACACTGCTGTATCCTTCTACCACTTGTCCTTGCTGCCATACTGCCTCTCACTGTTGCCTCTGAGCCTGGCATTGACAGAACCTCCATACCATGGGGTCTGAGGCTGGCTAGCATTGATGAGCCCATTGGAGGCAAGGCAAGGTGATGGCAGAAAAAAAAGGAAGAAGACAATGGTGCCAAGGAGGAGAGGGATCAAGTATTATTGGCAGGAGCAGAATACAGTGACATATTCATCTCTGCCATTCTATGCAGGGTGGCCAAAGGGCAGTGAAGGGGAGGGAAGAGATAGATGTGTGTGGAATTGAACTGGAGACAGTTCACGCAGGGCAGGGGAATGTGACCATAAGATACTGCAATAGTTGTAAATATGGCCAGTGGCCAAGTGCTCAAAGTTTTACTGTGTGTCCATGGGGACGCTAAGATGGTTGTAAGTGTGAGGGGTGGCTATATGTCTGGTTTTTTTTCAGTGTTGTAGTAATTTTGAACAGTTGCTGAACAAATGGTTTCAACCTGAGGATTATCTATATTTATCATTTAAGGCTGTAGCAGTTGTTAAATCAATATTTTAATATCTCAGCCTTTTATGTAGCAATATCTGATTGCATTCATTTAACAGGTATTTTTGCAAGTTTATTTTTTATATTCTTTGGATCTACTCCTATATTTCAGTTTTTTAATTCATTGTCTTTTACTTTGCAATTAGCTTAGACACTTTTAATATCTTTTTAATCTGTGTAACATTCGTCATGGAACTTAGTTTAGTTTTTGTCACCAGTCATAACAAAATTGTTGTCATTTGAAGGAGATAGAGAATGTGTTATTTTTGCTTGTGTTATACCAATGAACTATTATGTAAGGTATCTACCATAAAATAGTGATGATTTCTTCCTCAAAAATAAAAAAACACCTCCCAGCCTTTTCCTTCCCAAGGTTTCTCATCACTAAATATTTTGCAACCTTTTAAGGAAGATGATTACATTTTTGGAATTTTATCTTTTAGTCATGTTAACAGAGTGATCTGATAATACAAGTCAACAAGCTAAACAGCATGTCCAGACTAGCCACATAAAAAAATAGTATGAACAACAAAAATGTTACAGTTTGGAAAATTCATTTCAGTGGGTACTAGCCAGAATTAAGGTATTACAACGTCAATGTACTACAATTAAAAATCATCTTATGTGATCCTATGACATGTTCTTAGTCTTTTTGTTTAAAATTTGGATTATTCTCACTTGGATGTGAAGAAAATCCAATTTTTGCTTTTGTAACTTTTTAGAAATTTTGGGTTCAGAATTTTTAAAAATTTTCAGATTGCAACATTAACCTTGATAGGGCAATCTATACTGAGCAAACTAGATGAATAGCACAGAGTAGATTACTTGTATGTACTCTGAGAGCTTATGCACTAAAGACAAATTGCTTGTGTGTCTAACCACCCTTGGTCCATAAAGAATTCTATTCTGTTCTGTTCTGTTCTGTTCTATTCTGTTCTGT